CTCAAAATCTTCCACTTGCATCCCAAAGCAAAATCCTTACATGACCTACAAAACCCCTACACAGACTGACCAGTTACTTCTCTGACCTCATTGCCTAGTGTTCTCTCCCTCTCTACCTCCTGTCCCACCATGTTCTCCTCCTTTCTGTTCCCCAGACATTGCTGGCACACTCCAGTTTCAAAGCATTTGCTCATGTTTATCTTTTTCCTTGGAAAGCTCTTCCCTCAGATATCTGAATAGCTTGCTCTTCCTCCTTTAGTTCTCTGCTGAAACGTCTTCTCGGCCAGGCCTTCCCTGACCGCCTAATGTTTACTTGCAGCACTCCCCATCCCATTGCTATCTCCCTTTCCTGATTTCACAGTGTCCTCCATGGCACTTATCACCATATATCACATTTTTTACTCATTTGTATGTTAGTCTGTCTTTCCACTAGACTATTAGCTCAGTGAAAGAAAGGATGTTGGCCAATTTGCTCACTGATATATCCCCAGTAACTGCAAGAGTGCCTGATAAATAGTTCACATTTGATAAATACATATTCAGTGAAATAATGAAGAACAAAATGAGGGAGAGATTGTGTTACTAGAGATGAAGATGCATTATAGTAAAGCTGCTATAATAAAGACAGTGACGAGAGAGAGAGGGGTGATTTTTGTTTGAATGCAGGCATTGCTATCTATCATTATAAATAACAAATCAATAAACAGTACTAAGCCAAGTGATTATCTATATATAAATGGAATTGGATCTCTACCCATATCTTACCAAATGCAATTCTAGGTAGATGAAAAACTTACATGTGAGAGATAAAGTATAAAACCCACTGAACATAATAGAGTATATTTATGACCTCAGGGTAAGGGATAATACAAATCTCAAAGATTTAGCACATGACTATTTTTAGCTGTTCTTCATGGGAAAGAAAAAAAGAAGGGTTCAATAATGTCAAAGCCAATAAGATATCAAGTGACATGAGTACCAAAGACAGGATACACCGTTTGAAAACGGTGACCCTACTTAAAGCAGTTTCAGTACAGTGGTAGTGATGGAATCACAGCAATGAGCTAAGAGATGAAGAAAGCTAAGATATTCAGGACCAGATAGAGCCTGAACCTTAAAGCTCTTGAGATTCAGATTCAAGCAGCACCTCAATGGTAGATGCTATAGTACGCAATAAGAGGTTTTTTATTAAGGGTAGGAAAAACCTGAACATTAATTTCAAATGAATTTCTTAAGTAGCTCGTATCTATTGGCTGTCTTTGCTGACTAAACAGAGTCACTGCTGACTTAAAATCTAGATGACACAGAGAGAAAATTGTTGGCTCAAGAAGAAAAAGAAAATCAATGGCACTCATCTTAGTAATGGTCTTAGTTTTTGTTTTTGATTTTGTTTTCACTTTTGTTTTCATAAAACTATGTTATTTGCGTGAATATAGAATGGCTTTATTACTGTTATATTTAAACAAATACATAATTTTTTAAATTCCCAATTTCAAGTTCTATTATGATAAACATTGGCATACTGTCTACATAAATAAAAGGTCATTGTATTGTTTAATAATTTTCAAGAATCAAAAGAGACTAATACATTGGTTACTAGTGCTAATAAATAAAATCATGTGTTTTATCTCTAGTAAAACTCAACAGAAAAATAGAAAATAAATGATTGGAGGAATTCAAGATAAGGTATTGCTAAAAATGATGAACATATTCATTCTTCAATTCCTTTAAAAAAACATTTGAGCCCTGACCAGTGTGGCTCAGTTCAGTGGGTGTCGTCCCACAAAGCAAAAGCTTGCTGGTTCAATTCCTGCCCAGGGCACACACCTGGGTTTTCAGTGTGAGACCCAGGGATACACATGGGAGGCAACCGATCAATGTTTCTCTCCCTCTCTTCCTGTTACCCTTCCCCTATCTCTAAAAATAAATAAGTAAAACCTTTTAAAAACTTATCGAGTCTATTTTTACCTTATTTTATTCTTCAGATTTCATGTAAATGAAATCATATATGATTATCTAACCACTAAGCTATATACCTGAAACTAATACAAAGTGATATTGAATGTAAACTGTAATTGAAGAATAAAATTTAAATTAAAAAAGAAACTTACTGAAATCTGAGTGCCAGACACTATACTATAAGTCTGAAGATACAAAAGAAAAAAACACGATTTCCCAATACAGAGAAGAAAAACACACAAAGGGCTCATCAACAAATATTTATTTAAATTCCTGACAAATATAAGGGCACTAAAATGTGTGAGAGGTAACTGCTTTCATGAAATTAATAGTTTGGTAATGCAGTCCAATTCACCATTTTCTTAAAGTGAACTTTATGAATCAACATGTTAAATTTAGTTCTTAATGAGTACAATTACTTAATAGCCTTCAAAGCACTTAGATAAGGAGAATAATTTTTCCACATTGGCTTTGAACAATAAGATATTATTTTCTCTTTTAAAAGGTTTTAAACATTGTTGATAGTTAATGAATGTACTATTGTAATTAACATGTCCTATTGCACTCAACAGATCTCTTCTTTTGGAGTAAATTTCTGACTCACTTTTCCCGCCATGACTTTCCATGCCACTGTTCTCAGGAAGTTGCCAAGTGTGCTAAAGCTAAGCTCTAAGACTAAATGATTCACATCTGAGACCCCACCAGGTGCCTCATTAATCAAGGAAATGAATGGAAGTCTTTATCTGCTCTTATTCTAAGTCTAAAATTTAAAAAACATGAGTGTCTCTCTGTTATTCTATATCCATTTGATTAGTTAAAAACCTGGACACTGACATTTTTCCCATGAGAAAATCTTAACTCCTAATTGAGGAGGGGAGGTTTAGGAAGAGAGAGACCTTGGACACGTACAGACCTCCCATGACACAATACGATCTTTTCACCATGTAACATGATCCATGCCCCAGAGATATCTTAATGTAATACCCTGATGCCTTACAGGTGGGAACATAACACGACATATATGTGCCCATGAATTTGTAGAATACAAATAACAGCATCATTTATTTTGCAATACTGTAAAAATTTCAAAGTATTAATCAACATGGAAATACTACAAGCAAAGATACTATGACTGTTATCTCATAAACAGTTCTACTAGAGCAGGTTTGTGATCCTCATGAAGCCCTTTTTTTTTTCACTCTGATAACTTCTTCCAGATTTCTTCAATAAAATGTTACATATTGTAGTGGATGAAATAGTGTCCTCTCTCTCTCCACCTGAACCTGAGAATGTGACTGTATTTGAATGTGTACCTTCGCAGATATAACTAAAGTAAGAATCTTAAGATGAGGTTATCCTGGATAAGGATGGGCTCTAAATCTAGTGAGTGTCTTTACAAGAGACAGAAAAATAGATGACACACAGAGACACAAGGGAGAAGGCCCTGTGAAGACGGAGGCAGGGACTGGGATTCTGCTGCCACAAGCTGAGGAACGGTTCTCCTCTAAAGCTCTCATAAACGTCTGCCCCACCCCACCCCAAAGTATGAGAAAAGGCATTACTTTGGTTTTAATCACCCAGTTTGTGTAATTTTTTATGGCAGCCATAGGAAACTAATATACTCAATAAGCTGTTTTTTTCTGAAACTGATGAAAAAATGTATTTCTTCTAACTTTTGGTTTCCTATATGTAGATACCAACAACAAACTGATATAAAACCATAAAACGTAATTTGAGCAGAAAGAGTAATTTCTATCAAACACAAGTTCAAATTTTCAGATTTCATAAGGCTATGAAAAGTGATACACAATATTAATTTGTTCTTTTTACAGACTTTAGAGTATCCAAAGCTATGCAAAGTTCAGTAAATACATCATTAAATTATTTAGAAGAGATTCTAAAATTGTATAACCCCATTTGTTATTTACTACTAAGTATTGAATTTATGCCCCTTCTGTGATCTTTTGCATATACTCCTCTTGAATAAGAAGAACAATAAAATGATAAAAAAACAGATCTCCATAAGGTGCTGGGGAAATACAAGAAACCAGTTATATAATAATGCATTTTATGTTCATTTTTATTGATCTTACATTTTTGAGATATACAACTTTTCGAGAAGCTGAAAAAAGCTGTTTTCAGTTCAAAAAAATCAACGTACACATCTTCTACATAGAAAATGTATGTACTGTATCAGAGGGATCACTTGAAATCCAACTATAGTTTTCTAGTGGTTCAAACACTCACAGGTTAAGAATGGCTACATAAGGCCCATAGATGTTGTATCATTTTTATTGTCATGTATACTATCAGATAAACTGCCATTGTTTTTTCTTGAGAACTTAAAATTATTTTGCTCATTCACTGTGGTTGCATACAACTCTGAACATACTAAAAAACAATGAACTGTACTCTTCTATTGGGTACACATTATGTGCCATGTGACTTTTATTTCAGTAAAGTTGTTAAAATTTTCTTTCAAGCCCTGACCAGGTGGCTCAATTGGTTGGGCATTGGCCCACAGGGCAAAAGGTCACAAGTTCGATTTGGGTCCAGACAGCCAGGTTGCAGATTCAGTCCCTGGTCAGGGTGCCTACAAGTGGCAACTGATCAGTTTCTCTGTCATTGATGTTTTTTTCCATCTCTTTCTCCCTCCCTTCCCCTCTCTCTAAAAATAAATAAATAAATGTTTAAAATTTTAAAAATTACTTTGCCCAAAACAAGATATGCAGTGATAGTGATAATAATACTACTTGTTCTGAATACATATACAATGTAAGGGGAATATTAATACATGTATTTTAAATGTTACTAAATAACAAATTTTTAGACTATGAGATTTCAAAGCATTATGTTCATCTGTGTAGATTTATTACCCCTTTTAAACAATTTTTCCAAAAGAAATTTCATAGTGAAATCACAGAAGAAGGGGGATTCAATACAGAGAAATCGAAGTCACAGCAAATTGTCACAAATACAGGAGCCCCCAAAGTTAGGTGTATCTAGCGGGCAAAATGTTCCCAATGAACTTGAATAAATACCTCATCTGTCATTAGGGTTGCAATTGATCTGCCAATCTCATGGTACTGTTGACCCTTTCCCAGGGGTCCCAGAAGAATGAACAAAAATCTGTAATTAAGAAAAAAATAAGGCAAATGTTTCATGGTAGAAATGTAAAAATTATTTTAGTAGTACAGAATGACTCATCTCAAAGGAATTACTGCAGATGGGGATTTCTATGTCAAATACTTTGGTATTTTTCAGTTCATTATTTTGAAATATTTCATAATGCTTGACTCTTATGCTCTTCAGCAATGGAAATCTGTGGTTATTTGATCTTAGTCTTTCCCTCATTTCAATATTGGTAGAGCCTACACGGTTGTTAGTGAGAATTGTAAGGATTCTGTAATTCTTAGAGTAAAGTGACAAAAGTAAAATCTGATTAAAACTTTCTGAATTATAAAAAAGAGAATTCACTAATAAGCAAATTGTAGAACTAGGTACATGGGGGGAAAGGTAAGATAATTTCTTTGTATGAATAAGGAAAGAACATATGATCAAAAAATAATAGGTGTGTGTAAAATGTACATAAATAGAAAAAATTGTCATCAGGAGTCAAAGACTAGTTAGGCAAGAAAAAACAGGAAATTAACGCTCTATTAATTCTGATGCTAGATGAATAAAAATACCAGCTACACTGTAATATTCCATCTAAGTAGGTTGAAAGCCTGGCAAACTCATCATCACGACTGGAGTTTTTGGAGAAATCAGCACGTGCTCTACCTCTGCAGAACTGGGAGCTATCTTGTCTCTGGAAAGGGAAGTGCTGTGGGGAAACTGAAAGATTTTAAATGTCCTATATTCTGCAATATAACCACTTGTTACGTGGTTTATGCTCTGAAGTATGGTGACAAATGTCTTTGTAAGGTATACAAAAATAGGTACTATAAATCTACACTTCATTTACTCATAAACTTTAGCAATTATACATGTTTTTACATGAAGCACACATTATAGGGCCCTATAGGGTCTGACAGGAAGTTTTTGTGTTAGTTGAAAATGAATCCAAGTCAATTTATTCTATACAGATTTGTCCACTGTATATTTCAAACAGGAATAGTTTGGTGTGGTAGCAGATGCTTTATCACCTATTACACTTTTAAGGAATTTCCAACCAATGTACATGTGTCTCTTTCAGGTTTGCATTCCATGGGCTATTTATAAAGTCCTAAAAGATTATTTTCTGACATTTTTACTATGTGTTGCTATTATAGTCATGGAATGACCTTTTGTCCTCCTAAGACAGGATAATTAGGAACCTCTAATGGCTTTCTTTATTCTATTCAATATTTGTCTAACTAACCTTCTATTTTCACTATTCCTAACTTTTTTAGTTTTTTCCTATACAGTGGCTCTACCATGCCCCTAATTTTTCCTCCATTGTTTTCTCCACGTATTTTGCTATGTCAGTATAAAATGAGGTCACCTAAACCTTAGCTGTTTTCAAAGTGAACGTCCATTATGACTTTAGTCCTAGATTTTTTTCTTTCCTTTTCCTTTGAAATACAGGAACCATCATGGTAATAAATGGCCATTGTTTACTCAGAGTTCATCTGACACTATCCTAAATAGTGGAACAAGAATGTACTGCTTGAAAGACTAAAAAGAAATTTAAAACTACTAAAACAATATCTCTACAATTAGTAAATCTGACATCTCAAATCTTAATCCCAAACTCCCAGAAACTCTGGATAGGTTGCAGAATAGATTGCAAAGATTAGCTTTGATCAAACAGGTGCCACTTTAATGCACTGAGGTCATCCTTAGCCTTTTATATAAATGTTGGTTTGTATCAGAAGTCTCAGTAGCCTTCAAAAAGGATGAACTTCTTTTTGTGACCTGACAGGTAACCAGGTTCCTCCCTTGAACCGGACTGAGTAATAGGTGCTCGAACACTGAATCCCTTGTCAGTGAGCTTAGCCCTTATACAGCGAGGCTCTCCTGACTAAACTATTCCATATTCAGGGGATGTCTTATCCATAATCAAAGCACAGAGTAATATGATCTGCTGTGTTTTGAGTTAAGGCCAAAGGTTCACAGAAGAAACACTTTACAAACCCAGATGCAATAGCACCTGAACTTTACATCATCTTAACCGGGCTGAGGTATTTGATGTTTGGGAAGAAGAGGCTTACTAACGAACAGTATCTAAAATGGAGCATCAAACACCAGGCACCAGTCATGGGAAAGATGAGGCCCCAAAGAGATAATGTTTTTTTTTATGAAAAGAAGATCGGAGTGAAAATCTTTATATAGAAATCACATTTGATGGAAGGGAAAGGGAAGAAAATAAGGTTCCCATCTGAATTTGCTAGGAACCTAATGTGCTGAAGTCAATGATATTTTTCTGTAAGATATTTATCTTTAAAATAGAGATAAATTATAAGCAATTACCTCAGTTTACACCATCCCTAAATTGTTGGTTTTACGAATAGTTCAATGAAAAACAAGTTTAGATAATCAAATTAAATTTGTACTTTTGATTTGGATTCAAACATATTACCATGATGTTACTACCAGTGATTCTTTACACTACATATGGGAGGCATGCTGGGCCTAGGACAGAAACACACAGCACTTCAAATACAGCAGGGACTGGCCTCATCTTGCCACTTACATGTACTATGAAGGGCCTACTCATTCAAGCATAAACCAAGCCCTGAAACCTTTGGCTGTTTTGATTTTGACCACACTCATATACAGGATCTTGTTTAGCTCACAGTCAAATGCAATCTTTGAGAAAAGCCTAACACTTTATTACTTTTTACCAAAATTATAAGAAAGGATTTACTTGGTAATGTAGACCAGGGTATTTAGAGATGAGGAGTATGTCTAAAAGAAAACATAACAGTTTGAGAGGAAGAAGTAAAGAAAAAAAAATTTTTTAAAGAACTTTTCTGTCTCCTCCACAAACAAGAAGAAACAAGAGAACAAGAGTTTTGTGGATTAGTTTCAAGAAAAACTCTTAATAAATTATATTTATTCCTTGTTTCTTTTCTCTACATTAAAAAATAGTTTAAGAAAAATGCAAAAGAGGCTCTTATACTTTTTACCTGGTTGGGATTGGGACTTCAGCCAGTCCTTGAAGCAACACAGCTGGAGACAACCTGACAAACGCAACTATAGTTCGATCCAAAAACTCCAACTCCCCGACTAAGATGTTTGAAGCTTCAGCACCTGGAGGAATCTTTTTCATAAAATGCAGATCAACCTGCAAGTGTCACGAAGTAAGAAAAGATAAATCAAAGTTGGAAAAATTTGCTCAGTTGTGAACAGTGCTTCACATATGGTAATCCATCAATATAGTTTTAATAAATATAGCTTATATAAGTATACTACAAATAAAAATTTTCAAGTACTTAAACATGTCTTTTGCCCTTTACAAATATCTTTATTTCTTCATCTGTTTCCTAATTTGTTATCAATAAGCTGAATACTCTAGTTTCTCTATTCGATATCTCTAAAAGAAACTTCTTCAGTATCAGCAATCTTGAAATTTTCAGGAAGAAAAGAGCATGCACTCAATTAAGTTAATATACTTTAATCATAATATAATTAGGATTTTCCAATAGATTTAAATATTTTATGTTACATTACCTAAACTTTGTACACAATATATTTTAATTAATTAATACTCAAAATATGCCTATTCAAAAGAAATATAAACATATTTGTCCTTACAGAGTTAATTATTACTTTTGTCTTCATCATTATTCTCTATCCTTCATGTTCTATACTTAGCCTGGTCATTCTTCAATTTTAATTTCTCATCAGAGAATTTAGATACGGCAAAGTAAAGAAGACAAGAATGAAAATATTAACATTTGGTGTGGCTAAAGAGCCATCGGTGAATTTCTTGATATGAGATGTCTGTGATTGAAATGAATGCACACAAAACAAAAGTGATCCTTAACAAGAAAAAGTGCCTGGAGTAAAGGGTGAGGACTGAAAAATGAATGTTCATGTTCTTAAGAGTAAATATTACTTGTTACGTGCAGGGCCTCAATGCAAACCAAGCAGTGACTTTAAAGTCAATTTTACACAGCCTGTTTCTTGTTTCTAATTCATTTGAGTTGCTTTTTATGAAAATCACTTTGTAGTAAATCTTGAGAATAAGATTTTTATCTGCTGTAGTGATTGGTTTTTCGAGTTTGCATTAATGAAATGGGGGCCAAAGATTAAAGTGGGAATAGCCTAGAGAGAGGGAGAGAGAAGAGCTCTGGCAAATAGAAATGAGGTAGAGATTTTTTTTAAGGCCAGATAGTTCTTTTGCAAGTTTAATAACTTGAGAACAATTTTTCCAAGAAGTTTCAAATGAAAATAATCAAACGTTTTAAGAGTATCTTAGAAAGTCCATAGGCTGGACTTTAAGTGACTACATTAAATATGCTGCTTTCTGAAATCAAGACATCAGCACAAGTATTTAGAAGCTTTATAACTACTTAATTTATCTGTAAACAAAGGTTTTACAACCTTTGGTTTTACAAACCATAAAACCCATTATGTGGAGTGTACATTTTATCCTAAGGGATATAAAAATAATCTATAGTACTCTATTAAAATACCCAACAGAATCAATGTTCTATTTTAAAGAAAAAATAATTTAACAAAGCAAAACTGCCTATAAAAATTATGACAAATATTTTAAAATTCCAAAGTTTTCATCTATAAATATATTTCCAAATACACGTTTGTAAACTCGTAAAGCACATACCTTGGGATAGTATATGTAAGTATTTTCATCTTATAGAATCTAACCTTTTAATTTAAAGATATAAAAGTATTTATTTACCTTAATAATAGAAAGTTAAATTTTATAGTAACTACTATCATATTTTTGTATTTCTTTTTCTAGTTAGGAGATATGCGTATGTTGAAAATGATTTCAATTACTAATGCTTTATAACTTCACTATAAAGCATAAATTCTCAAGAAGGGAATAAATTACCTATACATTATTAGCCCTGTGAGAAAAACATAATAAATCTTCCTAAGTCTTTTGGAGCTTAAAAGAGTAAAGAATTAAGTTCCCCCACTAATATCAAAAACAATTATGCAATGTTAATATGCCAGAACAAAATTTAAAATAAAAAATAGCTTTTTAAGAAAATCTATAATCAATAAACAATATCAGTCATATTGATAATACCTTTCATGACTTAGATGAAAAGTCTAAATCCCAAATGAAAAACTTTCTATAAACTCATTTGTTGCTTGAAAGGTGTCAGTCTTAACTATTGAAGTTTGTGCCCTAGACAGGTGGCGATTATACAGATAACTGCTTTAAGATGTAATTTAATTAAATCAAGAAGTACACAGTATGCTAAAATAATTTAATTTTATAAAAGGAAATATATAGTCTTTAAACATGACTTTTTTTGTATTATATAATTCCTGATATATAAATAATTGATACACATAATTTAGAAAAGGCATTAAATACACACAATTTTATTTCAGGATTCACAAATTTATCTTTTTACCTTAAATACAATAAATTATAGTTAAATAATAGATATCTGGAATAGCCATTATAATACACTCATATTATATTATTCTTGAAGTAGTTATATACTTGGGAGAGTAAAAGATTATATAATATATTATTTAATTATATTACTATATTGCAATTATATGTTATTCCTGGGGCAGCTCTATATTCTTCATTTGTGTTAATATATAATTCATAAAAATCCCTATTTGACAATATAACTATCTTTTAATATAATAAAAGGTCACATTTAAGGACAATAATTTGACCTATAATAAAATTATTATTTACAGGAACAATAATTGAGGAAGGAACTAGGTTGAATACATCCCTAAAATGATCCTCAAGTAGACTAAGACACTCATAATGAACATAAAGAAAGCCTGAAATTTTCCTGCTCCAATGAATAGGACCTTAAAGAAATTAAGGTACACTCTTATGGATCAAGATTTACACCCCTGATCCTGGGCTCTCCAGGCCTTTCTGCTAAGAATAAAAAGATGTTTCATTCTGGGCATTAGGTTGTAGGTGAGAAATAGTTACATCTCCAGGGAACAAGGTTAGACAGAAGATCATGATGGAACTGGGAATGTCTGGATAAACTACACACTGAGATGCGAAAGAAAAACAGATGGGACTTCAGGGGGAAAGTTTAAGTCTTAAGCCCATTATGGAAAGTACAAGAAAAGCAATGGGGATCCTCTGGGGAGAAATGGTGCTGTGACACCAACAAGCCAGTGATCTTAAGCAGCCCTATTAAATCGCTCTGGGATTCAGCTTTCTCACCTTCTCAATGAGAAGGTCTCTACATTTTCCTGGAGTTCATGAATTTAACAATAAACCTCTTTACTCTAAGTTTCACATACTCGGGATAGATGCAGAAGAAAGTTCTTTCTACATAGAAAATAATGTGAAGTTTTCCTTGGATCATTTGAAATGAAAGAAATACCACCAGCATTTGGGAAATACCAAATTAACCACCCTCTGCAAGTTAGTTAAAAAAAAACAAAGACATAGAGTGTTTTGACACATCTGCTTTTTAAGAACACTATAAAAAGTGATAACCTGACAACTTAGATTATATTCATAAGCATTCCTAAATTAGGGAGTTTGATGGGCCTATCCATTGAAAGGGTTAAAAAATGTAGATTGAATGTAGATAGACTATAGGATCAAGTCACTTGAAAAGAATACATTTTGTTTACCCTTAAGATCTCAAAATTCTACTGGGGTTTAGAAACTACATGTAAAAACTGAAAATATTTGAATGGACAAAGTAACCCGGAGACTAGCTGAGCTGTGATAAATTTACTACCAACTGAAATCATTAGGCTAAAAAACCTTATCTCACGTACGTGCAAAATTTGACGCTAAATTTTGTTTCCATAATGATAGACTAATCATGTTTGTTCTTTTTAAGCCCTACTGCTCTGCACTTCTAAATTATAAAGTAATTAGTGTTACTTGGTTGTTCAAAAGCATCCCTGAACTAAATGCTTAAGTTATTTTGAATCTCACAGAATTCATTCATTGGTACATACCAAATACTGTACAAGGCACTAGACATTGAGTGGAGACTAAATCATATTAGATTCTGGTTCAGTATTTGTTTTTGACATTATTCCCACTAATATTAATATTAATAATAATAATAATAACAACAACAACAGCCACCTTGTATTGAATGCCTGTTATATTTCTAGCACTCTGCCAGAAGTGCTCTATATATTTCATTTGATTTTTACAATATAGCTATGAACAGTATTACTAGTCTTATTTTACAAATGAGAAAGCTGAAGTTCAGAGACATTCTTCAAGATCAGATAGTTTGTAAATGCAAGAGTTAGGATTCCAGATCTCACGCCCTTTCTCAAAAACCATGCTCCCTCCAATGTGCCAGGCTGTGGATGAGAGACTGAGGAACACAGATGGTTGGCATGGAGTGGAGGGCTCTAGAAATTTAACTTGCCTATTAAGAAATGAAATGGACAAGTAGCTGGAAATGAAATAAGAAGAAGAGGATTAAAGGAAAGAAAATCTGTTTTTTACTCTTCTGTAGTCTAATTGTTTTAGGGGACATGAAGATAAGACTACTATCTCCCAATGGCAAAATTTATTTTCTTTCAAATATGATGAAGCATTTCTGAGGCTACCAAAGACAGATCAGACAACTCAAAGCAAAATTGTATGGAGAGATAAAATTCAATGTGAAAGGGTTATATCCTTTTTTAAAAAGGTTAAATGGTAATTTAGTTGAAAGCATTTGATTTATTATCGTTTTGGAGAATGTTAAATATGCCCATGGTGTACTGTTAATGCCTACATAAATAAATAAGCAATTTCTTATGTCACTGCTTTTAAGATATAGTTTCAGATGAAGAATATCAGAAATTAAATGTATGGCAGTTTGCAACAATTTTATTCCAACTTAGAGATGAATGAAGATGTAATGCTTTAAAAAGATATTTTTTGGAACAGCAAATGGATTACATCTGAACTGGCTTAATGTTTGAATCACATGCCTCCATACAGTGAAATGAGCTTTGACCCATCATAGAAACACAGCCCGAGTGTGCCCTCACCTCTCTCTCTTGCTGGTGTGGAGGTCCTTTTTCTTGCCTTTGTTTCATCCCACATGGACTAGTCTGCCCCTTTTGTTGGCCTCCCAGTCCCTGCGCGCATAATTAACAGACTTAAGCTGGTATACCGTGCTCCTATAGAGACTCTGCCAGGCACCAGAGGGAGAGCATGCACATGACCAGACCTGGACCACTTAGGCTTTGGCAGAGAGATTCCAAAACAGTAACGAGGAGCTGATTGCTACTGCACTTTTCAGAAGCTTGAGGTGGTCAACTTCTACTGCTGCCTCCCGTTACCACCTCTTCCAGATGTTACAATCATCACCAGTGCTAAGGGCTTTGTGGAGGGCAAAACACTTTGAGTTACTACTGCTTCAGCCACTCAGATAAAGAAAATTGTCGACCCTCTTCATTTTGGGTCAGTATTGAAACTCCTCTTTCCTGTTTGTTAGTTTGCCATAGCCTACAATTGTACATATAGACTGTTAGAAATTTGCTAGCCCAAATTACATTATTTTCACAGAATAATTTAAGTAAATGATTTCATTTGAATTAGCTCTAATTAAATATATCCCTCAATAGTCCATCTTTATTAAGTTTTCATTAGAAACTTTGCTCAGTTCCGCTATGTTCTAGTCTGTTCCTACACTAATGCCTTTCTCTGAACTGTGACAATGAAAACTTTATATGATTTGCTTTTCCATAGAGAAAAAATAATTTTGAAAAAATAGACAGATATTAAATAATAAACTTCTGTTAAATTAGTTATAAAGTCCAGTTATTCTTTTTGATGGAAGAGATATATTATACTGAATGGCTCGTACCTAAAGACTATGCATAAAACTTACACATTTGGTTTTGTGAACAAGCAAAATGTTACATACGAACTTAAATGCTAACACTATAACCATATCCCACTTTGGCTAAGTAACAAAAACTGTTCATGCAAAGTATTATGTCAACACCTCATAAAGTGTGTAGCAGTTTCCAGTAATAATACTGTAGCTTACTCAAATGAGAGAGAAGCTTACCTTGCTAAAGTCAACAGTGCTGTTTTCTCTGCTCACATCATTTTTATTTTCAGCAGAGGCTGGAGCAGACTGTGGGGAAACAACCTGACCTGCTAAAAGAGATTGTTATTATAGAATAGAAACAATTACTTATATAATTCCAGACATATTGAGTAAAATATGAATTAAGCTAAACTAATATGTTTCTTAATGAGTTTATGAGATAAGCACGAAGGGCCAATATAACTAGATCTCTATCAATAAAAATATTCTCATTTATCAGTTACAGATAGAAACAGGAGAATTCAGTCAAGAAAAAATAAATAAATTCTCAAATTCAAACTCTAATTAAATAGTTATTTCTTATAAAGAAAAATTACCTATGAAAATATTTAAAACTAATTATGGTTTTGAAACATCATTGATTTTTATATTTCATCCAATACTGATGATATATATTTTCTGAAAATATAAGATAGACACCTGTTATAATTTAAGCTCAGACTGAAGAATTTAAAATGTATAGTTTTTAAAATGGGTAAATATTTATCTGAAAAGTATACAGCACATTTATAGCTTTTATTGCATCTGAAAAAAATAAGCTAAGGAGAAAACACTCTTCAACCATAACGTTTAGAGATTTCTATATGAAAGCTTCAGTTAGAAATACCTTTTCCTCACACAGTATGAAAACTGTGAATATGATTTTATGCTTCTCACTGTTAGATTGTATAAGCATACAAATATTGATCTGCAGAGAAAAGATCAATAAACTTGAATTGTATTAATTTTCCATTAACCCTAACCAGAAACTTAATTACTTTGTCATCTCTCCCCAATTACAAGGAAGATCATGATGTTAAGTGGGCCGTAGAGCTGGGAAGGTGACAACAGCTAGCAAAGGATAATTAAATTTCGTTATTCACTAATTATGAAGCATTTTTTAATTGCAACTATTTGTAAGCTCTCCTTGTTTAGCATTTAAAGGTTAAAAATTAATGAGGTTTGCAAAATTTCACATACTCTCTCCTTCCTTAACTTCTCCCCACCCTTTTGTTGTGACATGAGCGATGATGACCTGCTTTAAAGGCACAACCATATCTACAATAATCGATGGCAAACTACTGCTCTTACTCTCATCAGTGTTATACGTCAGGAATATACTCTCTTGTGTCTGCCTCATTCTTCTCTCTACCCACCTACATTTCAACTGGATTCAAAGTTCACCTTTAGTCTCATCTCCAGTCACTTCAGTCTGTACTCATCTGAACTTCTCTTAACTACTAATACATCTACAAATAAAACCACTTTAAATTTTCTGCTGAAATCCTACTTATTCATTGCTACCTAGAAATTGCCAAGTATGATTTAAAACACTGATTTACTTTTAAATATTACTAGAATTTTGCTTTGTGCACTATTAAGCTTCTCAGGGGTCATTCATTAATAGATAATATTTTTTATGTTTTAATATTGTTATATTGCCAGAAAGTAATGGGCTTAAGATTCTTCTAGAACTGAAATAGTCTTTGCTTTCACTAAACAAAGTAAAATAATACATTTGGTGAAGATTTTTTAAATTACTTTTTAAAGAAAATTTGCCTTTAACCATGTACATAAATTCTGATTATAGCATATTCCAAATTACATATATAAACTTTAGATCAATACCAGAATTAAGCAGAATTATCTCTTGTCATTCTCCCATTTCTAACTGTGACGCGCAGCTATGACTGTGCACTGTTCATCAGCAGCCATTTATCATTCTCAATATAATAACTAATTTTTAAAAATCTTTTATACAATGTATTTGTGCTACTAACAGATGTCTTCAATCACCAGTTTCACATCATTCTCCATATTTTCATAAGTTAGAATTAGACAGATTTAAACATAAATTTTCTGAATATTCTGTAAAATTGAGTAGTGAAATTCAAGGCATAAAAAAGTTAAATAAACATGTGCTTTCCTATAATAACTTATTTCAAGTGGTATAAAACTACATGGAAAATATTATTTAATTCAGTCAGGAAAAAAACACAAAAAAAGAGTCAATCCAATGCAAAGTAATCAACTTAGAAGAAATTTCATTATAGAGAGACTATGCTATAATTTAAAACTGAAAAAAGTTAAACAGCTTATGTTCCATAAATATTCTTTGAATAGAGAACATTTCACGAATTGCTTTCAGCTTACATGATATGTTTACAACATTGGTACTTGGATTTTGCCTTGTGAATATTAATATATTTTGAGATTTATAGTTCCATGAAATTCTTGTTACTAAATGATGAAACATTTACAAAATATTACCTTATAAAGCTGAGAATTAGGAAGGGATTTGAGCCTATTTTCTATGAATATTTTAAGTGATATGGACAGTGACCTAGTGGAGAGTACTTAACTAGCAGGACACACACTAAATGGTAGTAAATCCTTGCTTCTTTTGGATTTTAGATATGTACACAGAATATATAATAGTACATGGGGGAAAAGCATAAAAACTACCAGACTGTAATACCAAATATAAAACACAAATTTGGTATCTCATTGGTCAGCAGTAATAGTTAAATAACAGTAGTAAATATTACTAGTTAAAATATTTAATCACATCAAATGGCTTGCAAAGTTTAAGGAATGTTCCAAAACTTGTTTTCAATATGTATATTAATTTGTTAAAATGAAAAAATATGCATTAAATGTGTATATCTTTAAGGCAGTATCTGAAAACTTGGCAGGATACAGAAAAGTGTATAGGTAATATAATTTTTAAATTAAACTGATAATTTTGGTTTGGTTTACTTTGAAGAAACTTATACTTTTTAAAATAAACCTTAAATTTTTATTATCTATCTATCTATTAAACTAAAGTCCTCACATGAATTATAGTCTATAAACTACCAGTAATCTCATAAATTAGAATAAGTTTTTATAATTCTGTCATCAATTATCATCTTCATCTGTCTAACTACTAATTTCTTTAATTTCAATTATCACTGTCTTTCAAAAGAAGGTGATGAGTTTGAATTTCAAAATGACTTTCATTACCTCGAATACTATTACATAAAAAGAATCAGTAAATTTAGGTTTTAAAAGAGCACCTTTATTTTATCACTGATGCCTAAAACAATAATAGTTTATAAAATAATAGTTTTCAGGTAAGGATTTTACCTTCAAACAGAAATGAATATGTTTTCTAAAATAACAAAGGATTTGCTAGAGTATTTCCTCATCCAGGAGAAAAATAGCATGAAGTTGGGATTCAGAACTCACAAATATGTGTGGAAGCTTTATAAGTGCTAGTTTTATGATAATTTGTCTAATCACTAGGCCACAGTGCTTGGGAACATACATGTTTTTATCTACTTTCTTGCATGACCATCATTTCACACACTAATCACTGTTCATATTAATGTATCCTATAAGTAAATGTCATTGCAATGTTTAATCACATCTGTTATTAGCATGGAGATGACTATCCAAAAACAATTAAAAAAACACTAACTCAATAACCTTATTACATTCAGGATCAATTATTCAAAAACTGATGAAAAATGGACACCATTGGTAAGAACTGGGAAGAGTTCATGACTTTTCAAGTGTAAACATTTGAGAAACCTAACATAATCCTACATATTTACCATATGGGATTGTTTTTCCAAACCTTTAAATTCAGAGAATCCACCATTTTAGATGTTATCCATTTTAATATGTCATGCACCTTATCAATTAAAGTGCATATTATGTAGTATTCATATTAGCGACTGCTTGAATAAATTTTCCTTCGAATCATGAATTCAATTTTTCCTCTAGATCTCCATGTAGGGGTCACATATCAGTCGAATAAAAAATTATTACGGACCATTAATTTTTCCAAGGCAAATCAGGGAAGATGTGGGGAATGCACAGGAGGAACCTGAGAGTAATTCAGGTGACTGCTATCCGGGAAATGGAAGCTCTGGCTTTCTCTTGCAACTGCACACATTTTTCACGAGGTTCATTGTGAAACTGGCATAGACCTTTCCCTTATCATCAAGTTGTAGGGGGGCAACATGAGATTATGCCAAAAGTACTAATTTCACTTTAAGTAATATCAGTATCATTAAAACATTTATTGAAACACAAAGGTAAAATACATTGTCAAAAATATTTAAGTATTATATTCGTACACTGAAGTCCTTACCTATAGTCTTCTTCTTTAAATAAGTTATGTGCATAAGTATTGTAAAACAGCAGCTTTTAAATTTCTATTTGGCCAAATTCAAATCAATAAGAGAAAAATATATACTTAAGGTATATCATTATTTGCTACTGCTTAACGTACAGAAAATCACGTGTAATAGAAGGAAACTGGGATGAAGACATGGAGGTACATTACTATTAACCTAGAGACCAAGCTGGTTTACACTACCTCAGAAAACTTCAACGCATTTAGAGGGACCCAAAGGGTAGGAGATGAGGGAGGTACAGAGATGAGATGAGCCTGTTAGAGACAGACACAAGACAGAGCAAAATAAAGAAATATAAAGATGAATGACAAAGTTACATACATGTGTAACAATACATTAATTTATGGGAATAGAAAACATGAAAGAAGGCTATTAGAAAGTGTTAAGTGAGCTACACTTCAAAAACATAAAAAGTATGCACATACTTAAACCTGGAAAAAAATATTATGCCTGAAAATAGTTAATGTAACACATGAACTAACAAATTTAAACACATCGTACTAGAAATATTTTTGTTGTTAAAAGTCTAATCTTGGCATTCCAAAGCTCAGTAGCAATCACACAGCCTCTAAACAGACCCACCCATTGTGTCAGTGACGTCATCCTGATGCTTGGGGAACAATGGAAAATACCTTCGTTATGCAATATTTAATTCTCTCATCTAAATGAATCTTTTACTATGTTTTCTTTCAAGTGATTCTAAGAATTGGTATTCTAGCTCTTTTTCTTCAAGGTAGAACATTATGAGGGATTATCTTTAACTCTTGGTATCTTATGATACCACAGTATTTTAAAAAATAGGAAAGCATACAAATACTAAGCACACATAAAAACATCATGTATCTGAAAATAAAAAGTCCAACATTTATAAAAGTAGTGTTTACAAAGCAATAAAAGTGACTTCCAAACGCCATAAATAAAAATCATCTGCCATCCATACACCCACATTGTTGTGCGAGCTGGAGTGTGTTGTGCAGCCTGAAGAGCCAGCACGTGCCCCATCCTTCCAAACCTAGATGTTCTCCCGTAACCTGAGGCTCGGGAAGTAAGTCAGAGACCTCCTGCTTTTTAACTCCTTCTGAGATCTTAAATAAAAGGTGCAACTGGAAAGTGTCCAGAATAGGAAGAATAAAAATATCTGAAGGAAAAGAATTTGACTTAGAATTATCAATAAAAGACCCAGTGGAATGAAGATACCCTACACCTAAGAAAACTAAGAGTCCTAAATTATTTTTTAAATATAAACTTTATCACTAAAGTAATAATATTTTATAATAGACTTGTAATCCAAATGTCTCAAAGTATAATTGCATGCATGACCTAAATGACACATACAAATACTGATAAAATTTTTCTAGATAATTTAACATCGAAGTCTTGTTTTTATTTTTAGAAAGTCCTTCTAGTTTCAAGGAATTATTTGAATATTCTTGATAAATTTATTTTGAGAATTTTCTACCCATATCCTTTTCAGGGTTCTAAGGTTAAGGAAGATATTATTTTTCTATTACTTTTTGCTGTTGTTTTGCCAAAAGTAACTGTCACTTTTTACTGAAACTGAATCAGACATTTAATTCTCACAGTTTTGATGCTTAATGAAAAGTGAAAGTTAAACACGGCATGGTGGCATGAAATATGCATGGTGAATCCATAGTATCCTGCATCGTAGCCTTAAGAGAATGTGCTGAACACAAAGAAAACAATATACAAAAAATACTAGTGTAGTATTTGGAGATGCCATTGGATAAATTATCACAAATCACTACAAAATTAAACAAAATATTTTAGACTTCAGGAGGAGAGGATCAAGGAAATTACTATCTTACAAATATATAAAACCTATACTGGTAATAACCCATATTTGAAATTCAGATTGACTTATCTAAATGTTTAAACCTTGGGACTGCTACCCAAGGTAGCATGCTAAAAGAATAAGTCAATTAAGAAAGTAGAAACCTTATTCTATAACATTCTTTTAGATTTACTTACATAAGAATCAGTTCATTTTTTAGAGAATTCCTAATTGTTTTGCCTCTAAAATAAAATTATATTAAATAAGAGCGTGGTTATTTCTATTCTATGCTTAGGAAAAAAATGTTTTCTGTTTTCAAGTTTCTAGAAAATCTTACTCTAATCCCTAGTCTATAATCTTAAATGAAAAGTCAGCCTTTTTACATGAAATCCGCTACTGAAGAGATTTTTTCTTTCTAAATATTTTCTTGTTTATGCTATTACAGTTGTCCCAATTTTTGCCCCTTTGTCCCCCTCCACCCAAACTGTCCCCCACTCCAACAGTCGATCCCAACACTGTTCTCTATGTCCATGGGTCATTCATACATGTTCTCTCACTGGTCCCTTCCCCTTCTTTCAACCAGTCTCCCCCCTCCCCTCTTACTCTGTCGTCTCACTTATAAATGGAACCTGAAGATATTTTCTAAATAGTAAGAATATTATTATTCCATTTTTCACATTTTAAAATCCATTTTATCGGGGGAGGCTGGGATGGGAAAAATAGACAAAACATTGTACTTGAAAAATAACTAAATAAAATTAATTTAAGAATAAAAAAATAAAATAAAATCCATTTTATGATGTACTACTGCACAATTTTTCTATTGCATATTTTGAAACAGAGTCCATAAATCTATGTTTATGTCTATGAATTTTGATGTTTGTTTATCTAGAGTTTGTCGGAGTTCATAACAGATTGAGAACCTTAGTAATAAAGGTCTTTCACACTTTATTCACTTGTGGATAAATTTGATTCTAAATTGGTGAGTCTATACATATTTTCAGAAGCCTCAATATACATATTTATGCAAAGTATGCGAGGAAGCAAAACAGAGTCTTAAGGAGGTGTTATAAGCCTAGATGTAGAAGACCACTTTTGACAGTATAGTCTACAACAATACTTAATTGGTTGTATGAATCTTATTAGAAATGCTTCCAAGTTTTTATTACCCTAAAGTATGCCTCAAAAGGATCTGTATATGTTCATATAAAGGCTGATTGTACAGAGGTGACAGAATCACTTCAGAATTACTCACACTTTAGTTTTCAGAAAAACTAAGCGGTTGTCTAAACAAAACAAAAGACCTGCTTTCAGAAAATTTTCTATTTGTATGTTTCTATATGTCAACTTGTGATTCAAGTCTATAATTCCATCAGCTTTTTCTATATTTAACAGAAGTTTAAAGCATAAATTGTGTGCCAAGGCTTCCATGATATTATAATAAATGTCTCATATAGTAAATTTAGCAGTCTCTTTCCTTCAAGAATTTAATGAAATAAAATTATTTTATACCAAATATTATCCCCTGTGAAATTTGTGATATAAATTATGGCTAGTTCATAGCCCAAGATCCTTGCATCTTTGAGTAAATGTGTATCCTTACTCCAGACATATATTTTATTGTCTGCTTTCCAGTATAAGTAATGAAGTGAAGACAGGTATTTATTTCTTTTTAACATGCTTGCATTCACCAAGAGTTAATTCTTGGGGGGCAGGGCGTATTTTAATAAGGTCTTTGGAATCATGCAGACATAAGCCCATAGTCAAAATTAGTAAAATATCCAAGTCTGTTTTCTTAATATTATCATGCCAACTAAATACTAATATTGCAAGAATAGTAAAACTACTACATTTGGTATATTGTCTTGAACATGAGAGGTACATTTTGTTATTTTATATATACCATATTTTAAAGCAAATTATGGCAGAATATGAATACATTTTAAATATATGAGGTAATACAAGCAAGTTATAAATTCTAAAGATGTTCAGTGGAATTTATAAATACAAACTGGAGTAAACCATAATGTGCTCATAACACTTTTATTGAACTTAGAAGCACAACTACAGACTCTTCTGTATAATGATGATTTACATTCAGTCATTGAAGAGTCTTTAAAAAATCAAATGAGTATTTCAAAACTAATTTTCCATTAAGCACTGGTTATATGTTTTGAGACAACAGTACCATCTTCATTGATTTATTAAGACATTTATTCTACTTGTTTGTCTACTATATTTAATTCAGTAATATGAAAACTGGTAAAAATTACCATATAATGCAAAGTCTGAGGAAGATTCATGTTCATGAATTTGTATTTAAGGCATTGCCAAAGCATGAAAATAGTAATTAAATTACATAAAATAATCCAGGCTGACAATATATATATGTTAGCCCATGTGTAGAAATCAGAATCTTTCTAGTAAAGCATTTGAAATTACATTTCCTTATTTATCTTTTAAAAATTTAGAAACTTTCACAGCTAATGGAAGTTTAACAATTCATATTATCCTCATGTAACTTCATTTTCCTTTGTAAGACTATTGAGAATAGATAATAAGAAGAAATTAATAAGCAATTTCCTTAATGTAAATGATGAAGGGCCAAATGGATATAAGAAGGAACAAAATACACAAGAGGGGTAAAACAGTGTGAAGCACAACCATAAGGAGTCAGTCATGACTGCAGGAAAGCAATGGTTGGTGTCCCTGGTGTTTCTGTGTGGAGATGGTAAGTGAGGTGGCCCGTGGAGGTGGGAGATGCGGCAGTGCAAAGAGCAATGAGCCATGAACTGGAAATCAGGATTCATTTATGTAGAGCCATGGCACTACACTAGCTAGTCTTTTCAATCATATTCTCCAATGGAATTGTTGACTATGAGCAACATGAAAACAGTATATTTTTCCATAAACACTAAATAATCATTATATTCATTTTAACTCTAGGACTGTAAGGCAAAGCATTACATTACAGTCTCAAATTATGGGACAAAGACTAACACCTTGTTTGGGATGCAACTAACGCTCAGTTATGTTCGGTACCTTCTCTAACTTGGAGTCTGTAACTTCTTATTAGATAAAAGTTTCCCTTGAATTCTTTCATAAAACTTTCAGGAAAACTAAACTCTTGTTAAGATTCTACAATGTAATGCTTGATAATAAAACTATACACGCACACACACACACACAAACATAAACATATATGTACATATGAAAAGAAGCAATTTTACAACAACAATCTAAATTTCAATAGATCAGTTTCAAATAGAATATATTTTAAAGGATTTAGAAGCACATTGATATTTCAGACATGTATATAAACATAAAGAGTAAAATAAAGAAACATTTACCATTTTTATCCATGGAGTTTGGTTCTGATTGTTTCTTGCCAATATCAGCAAAGGAACGAACAATGGGGATTCTATTGGTGAGTTTTTTCTGATTCTGGTGGTGATGCTGTTTCATCAGTGCTTCATGGACTCTGTGGCGCACATCTTCGTTGAGCTGACCTGAGCTCACTTGTTGGTCAAGGACCATATCTGAAGAGAGAAGGCAGGAAGATTAGCACCCCTTTCCTGTAGTGCACTAGCCAGGAACTACCACATCTAATATCCGTCCTCTAGATAATAGCATTCATCTTTAAATAGAAATGCATTCCTTAAAAATTTCTTAGAACTTTGTGAAACTGTTGCACTACAAAGGCTTGGGGAAATTTATATCACAAATCATTCATTCCATTTTAAATATGTGATGACTTTAGAGAATATTATATTTCAGACAGATATATTATTAATGTGGTCTTTCTCCCTTTTATAGTAGAGAAAAATTTCTATGTTCCTTCTTCCAGTGAACAAAAGTCTACCTGTAAAAGTCTGATGCAGGAAGGCTTAGGAGGGTGTCTAGTTGGTTTCATCTGAAGAGTAAAGAACTCTTTCTCACTGATATAAACTGAGCCTTCTCAAACTTTCCTTGAAAACATGCCTATATTAAAAAGGCCTTCTATAACCATAAGTCAAAGTATAAAAGGAATATTTCAGAAGGCTATAATTAAGCAGATTAATATTTACCATATGGAGTGTCAGAAATGCCTATAAAATAAGTAAATAAATAAAAGCATTTTAAGTTTCTTGGTAATGCAAAGATCATCTCAATGAACCCTAGTATAATTAATCTGCTTTTAGATGATCAAATATTAACTCTATTTGATTTTTTTGAGACACTAACTCCTTATGTGAAGCAAGCAGATCACAATGAATTACCTTCCACTGTGCCACTGAACACACTAAAGATCTGAAAATTGGCAGAATTCTCCATTACAAACAATGCTTTTCTTCCATGTGAAAGGGAAACAGACTAAGGAAACAGATGGGTCATTGTTCCACATCCTAGCTGTGTGGCCTTTTAAAGCTGAATAGTCTCAGGGTCCTTATGTATAGGATGGAGATGCTATCTATCTCATATGTTGTTGCCAGGACTAAGCACATAATGCACTAATTGGAATATTGAGGCCATCAATAAAAAAATCCCAGCACAAAATTTTATTCGCAATTTTCATTAAGTAGGCTATAGGTCCCTGGTTTGAATTCTGAGGTTTTAATACATCCATCTATATTTTTTAATAGTATATCAAGTAGAGGCAAAGTTTGGTTTATCAATAACAGAAAATCTAAATCGAATTAAAACAATGAATTGCATTGGCTTGAAAAACAGAAAGATCCAAGTTAGGCTGGATTTGGTTCCACGTCTCTGTCATTCCACCAGCGTTCTGCTTCTCTAGGTGGGCGCTTCAACCTCAGGCTGATTTTCCTTGTCACAGGGTGGCTGCCAGACAACAAGGAAACATATATCTTTGTATCCATACATTCTTTGCCTTTTTGTGACTTTCTCTAAAAAGAAAGTTATTTTTTGCCTCGCCCAGGAAAAAATTTCCTATGTCAACTGATGTAGCCCTGCTTAAGCTGAACAAATCACTGGCAAAACGGAAGGGCCACCACAACTGGTTTAAACTAATCGAGAACTGCCTCTCCCTCTAGAGTCCCTCTTTCTCTCTGTTTTAAATATTTCATTTATTTATTTTTAAAGAGAAGAGAAAGGAAGGAGAAAGAGAGGGGGAGACACTTCAACATGTGGTTGCCTCTCAGGTGGCCCCTACTGGGGTACCTGGCCCACAACCCAGGCATGTGACTCGACTGGGAATTGAACCGATAACGGTTTGGTTCACAGGCCCACACTCAATCCACTGAGTTACACCAGCTGGGGCTACAGTAAATTCTCTAAGCCAGAGGCAGGCAAACGTTTTCTATAATGGGCCAAATAACAAATATCTCAGGATTGTGGACCATCTAATCTCTGTCACAATCAATCAGTTCTGTCTTTACAGCACAAAAATACTCAAAGACAACATGTACACACATAAGCATGATTGTTTCAATAAAACTTTGTTATGGACAATGAAATTTGAATTTCATATAATTTTCATGTTACAAAATTTTAACATTTTATATAATTTTTCAGTCATGGAAAATATAATAATTATTCTTAGCTCATAAGTCTGACAAAATCAGGCAGTGCACACTTTTGCTCTATCACTTTGCTGTCTAAAATGGAAAGAGGTAGAATGCATGTATAAAAGTCAGCTATAATGTAATGTCCACTATAATTACCTACAAAGTCCCTTCCAATCGCAAAATGATACTGTAGAATAATTAATGTATACCTCAGTGTTTTGGACATCAGTACTTATAATTCTCCTGGAATAATTTGAAGTAAAGAAAAAGATAAGTTGTTAAAATGTGTGACTTTACACTAAAACCTTATTAAGATTGAAAAGTGAATATAAAATATGCATTATATACTTCACATTGGGAGTTGTAAAGTAGGTCATTAAAACATCAAAGTTATACCATTGTAAAGTAGTTGTAGCTATAAGTCACAATATATATCCCCAGTTCAATATTCCAATCAGAATCAAAATGGTTAATAAGCTATGCAGATAGTTATCATGTTTAATTCCTACTAAAGCACTGTCCTTCTATGCTTGAACACTACAAAATCCTGTAAGTCACTAGCTTCACAGTTTTTCAGAGATAGGTCTTTATTTGAAAGAGTTACACAAGAGAAAGCAAATGAGAAAAAAACACTCATCTACTCATTAGTCATACAGAAATGCACAGCAAACTCCTCTGAGTTGTAACTGTATCAAATAGTACCTTAATGAACTGGAAAAGTTAGTCATCTTGCTTAAGAATATAAGTTATACTGAGGTGATGATTAAGAACCAAATGGAGTCTGATTCACTAATCACTTACATTGTTCTCTTCACCACCATAATATATATTAGTATCAACCTTGAAAAGTAGGAAAGGATAATGAACCATAATGGCTTTGGGCCCAGAGTCAAGTACTACCATCTCAGCAGCTATGATGTCGAAATAATACAGTCTAGCCTGCCAAAGCACAACTCCAGGACCTGGATGATAAAAGGAGCAAGAAGAAAAAGGATAAATAGGTCATGCTCTTCTGGCACTAAGCTGGTTCTGGGAAAACTAGCAGCGTTTGTGGAAAAAGGCCTAAGGAAAATGAGATATTACTTTACATCCTAATCAGGCAAATATTTATTTTTGACTCAAAGTATATATTTTTTATCTTTTATTTTTTTACATATAATATTTTCACCCAGTCCTCTAACCACCCTTCCCTCTGGCAACTGTCAGTTTTCTGTTTCTATGAGTCTATTTCTGTTTTGTTTAATCATTTATATTGTTCTTTAGATTCCATATATAAGTGAAATCATATAGCATTTCCCTTTCTCTGACTGACTTATTTCACTCAGTATAATACCCTCTGGGTGCAATCAGGTGATTATTTTATTATGATCAATCCATTTAACTACTGAATGAAAACCTCTAGAGACTGTGATATTCTACAGATTCTGTATAAACCTCTGAACTCTCTAAAAATTATTATGTGAGTGCTTTTTCCTAAAAAGCCATTGTCATAACAGTGCTGGGGCGGGAATGGGAAATGGGATGGACTCAGATTCTAGTCTGGTTGACAGCACCGCCAGGAACGTACACACTAAAACTGTTCTATAAGAACACTGACTCTCCAGGCCATGTACTGTATATTTTAAGCATATTGAAAAATGTATGACTGTTCCCAGAATCCTAAATTTGTGTATTACATTAAGCAGAGAAAACTCTGGATTTTTACTTCAAAAAAAATTTTAGTCAATAGAAGTTATTTTAATGAGTTGAGAGCAATAATTGATAAGCTTTCCATGTTACTAACTGGTTTAGTGTTAGTTTCTTACTCTCACTGACAGGATTAGGTTAAAGTACCAACTACAGAAAGAATATTTTCATTATTCATCTTTACAGCACTGTATTTTAAAGAGATGAACATAGATCATAAAATTGCCTATGATTTATAAAATTTAATTAAGACTAATCTTTAATATAACTGATTTCCTTATCAGACTAAGTTATGGTAAGAAAATATATCTTGAGAATTTTGGATTTAAAAGAGTTAAGTAATATTTTGAACAAAGAAGTTTACATTTATTCTGAGTTCTTTGAAACATTGGGAAATAGACATTTTTAAATTAACTTTATCCAAAAGAAAATCCCACTTTAATTATACCAGAAATTCTTGACAGTCCTGCCAGATATAAATGGGATTTTCTCCTGCTAAGTCTATAAAACCTCTTTAAAGAATTATCTAAGAGTCTATTAAAAACACATCAGAATATTGATATAAAAATCCTTCATCATCCTAAAATAATATCTGGATCCTACTCCTCTGCTAGAAAATACATTAAAAAAAGAATGCTACTGAGGCTGGGCATTTGCAAAGTACTCAGGTGAAAAGCCCTTAAAGGTAAACTACTATATCTACCTTTCAGAAAACTAGAATGGGTGATTGATATGTTAGTAACTGCCTAACATATTGAAAAATATGATAAATTAGACTTAAAAAGAAAATTTCAGGTCTTAATTGCTATGGGCACAAATTGTCATAAAATAAAATAAAACCAAATTTATAATTATAGGTTAATAAAAATTTGACTATTCTTCCCTTTTTTCCCCATTATCCCCCTACCCACTCCTCTCTGGTTACTGTCAGTTTGTTCATTATGTCAATGTCTCTGGTTCTATTTTGCTCACTTGTTTGTTTTATTGATGAGGCTCCACTTACGGGTGAGATCATATGGTATTTGTCTTTCACTGCCTGGCTTATTTCACTTAGCATAATAGTCTCCAGATCCATCCATGTAGTAGCAAAGGGTAGGAGCTCCTTCTTTCTTCTAGCTGGGTAGTATTCCACTGTGTGAATGTGTCACAGTTTTTTGACCCACTCATTTACTAATAGGGACTTAGGTTGCTTCCAGCACTTGGCTATTGTGCATTGTGCTACCGTGACTATTGGGGTGAACAGGTTCTTTTGAATTGGGGTTTCAGGGTTCTTAGGGTATAATCCCAGCAGTGGAATTGCCAGGTCAAAGGCAGTTGCATCTTTAGTTTTTTGAGGAGATTCCATA